TGGCCGTTAATTCGCGGCGATTCGGGCCGTTGAAATTTGATCGTTTCCGTGACAGGAAACGAATTCTTACGAAAATGCCACATTTTATGATATATTTCATGGCCACCACCCCCTGCTTGAAAAAAGACTGTTTATCCAAGGGGGTTGTTGTGTCTGTGTAGTACAAAACTTGTAACAGGTCAGACGGAAATGTTTTGTACTTGTGACGCATTGTGAAGGCCGAGGATATTACTGTACGTGTAGATATGAAAATGTTTGCTTATGACTAGGTGTTACATCCGTAAATATAAACATAGCACTTAGTGGCTTATGGCTTATATATCGAAATATAAGCTATGATTACTGTAATGATACAAAACTAAAGTTCAAAACATTTCAAAAATTTATAAAATTTCAATACAGTATTTTTATTACTACATTAATATAACAGCATACGTATATACATAATAGTAATATTCCAAGAACGACAAAAAGTAAAAAGGTATTTTCCATTTTTCTCATAACATTATTGTCAAAACGGTTTAATCGTATATGCATGACATATTATTGTTCACCAGGATGAGTGAAAGTGTTCATCTTTTGAGCACATAGCTGGTACGAAACGTTTAATACTTGTCTGGAAACAAATTTATTGCGATTTTATGGCTTGTTCCAAAAGTTTCTGGACTTTTATAGGTTCATGGAGTTTGCACTTTAAATTAGAAGTTTTGTTTAAAGGTGCTAAGTTAAGGGGAGGGGGGAGATTAGGGAAAGATATGTAAGGTTAGGATAGGGTAGGAAAAATTGGGATAGGGCAAGGCAAGGCATATTAGGGCAAGGGCAGAGCAAAAGCAAAGGCAAGGCAGGGGCAAGGCAAGACAAGACAAGGCATGGCAGAGCAAGAAAAAGCAGAACAGGGCACGGCAATAAAATTTTTTTCTTAAGGTGCATAAACTATAAGGTCTTTTTTTAAATGGCACTTTTACAATTTTAAGAATTTATCTCATTGAAAACTTTATGTTTACTATTGTAAACAAAGTTCCTTTGTCTATGTCATCATTTTTTATTCACTTTCACTATCAAAAATGTTACAATAATACTTTAAAGCACCCCAGGGATATATCAATAATACATTCTTCTTGTCTTATCAAAACTTTTTTGCCAAAATATGATTGATACTACCACGTTTTCAAAATTATTTTCTGTTTTTACAATTCATCATGATGACATTTATTTCGAAAACATTGAAAAAATGTTTTTAATACAAAATGTGACCTTACTGTTACTCAAAATGGCAATATACGGTAATAACAACAACACATTTATTTTTAGTAAGATAATGGCTATAGGAATGACATAATTGTTTGTGAGCTTTATGAGGAAGTTGAGGGAGGGGGGGCTAATGCAAATATTTGGGTTATAGGTCATGAGGATGACTTTGTTGTGGAGTTTGATCTTTTTTGTGTACCCTTAGGCATGGCAGTCGGAAATGTACGGTAAGGTTTGGGGTAATGTAAGGCAGGATAAGATAGGGTAGGGTAGGTTAGGGTATGGTAGGGTAGGGTCATATAAGACAGGGTAGAATAGGGTATGGTAAGGTAGGTTAGGGTAGGGTAGGGTAGGGTAGGTTGGTTGGCAATAACAAGGTGAGGCACTGTCCTCTTCTCCCCTCCTCCCTTTTTATTTGAAAACCCAGCTCTAAGTACAACATTCGTAAGTACACCACCCCTATTAGATCTGAGATGCGTTAAGTGCGTGCGACAATTATGACCGATGAATTTTAAAAACTTTGAACAAACAAATTTGCAAAATTTTAAAATAGTCTTGTTTATGATGACGTGCCCCAACTAGTAGTAGGACTGTTATAGGAAGATATCATTTTGCTCAGCCTACTCAGTGTTTGCATTATGCTGACAAATGTGTACACAAACTAATTGTGCCAGACTATATTGCTGGTGTGCCAGGAAACGTCATTTAGTTTTTCATAATGAGGAACTCTCTAGGGCTGGGGTAGAACTAGGGTAAGGGAGGGGTTGATCTAGAGTAAGGTTGGGGTAAAGAGTAAGAGTGGGGTACAATTAGAATTGGTTGAGGTAGAGTTTATGCAAAGTTAAGGTAAAACGAGTAGGGTTTGGTAGGATTAGATTAAAGCTGGGTATGATTAGAGTAGAGTAGGGCTGGGGTAGGGTTGTAGTAGGGTTGGCGTAGAGCTAGAGTAGGGCTGGTGCAGAATTAGGGGTAGATGTTGAGTGAGCATGGGTAGGTAAAAGCCAGGGTAAATTTAAAAAATTGTTATCTTTTATGTTATAAGGCTAGGCATGGGTAAAGTAGGCTGGGTAGGGCAAATTAGGGTAGGGTAAGGCAAATTAGGGAAAGATAAAGTACGGTTTAGTTGTGATTTAGAACTGTCTGCTGCTTTTTTATCATTTTAGCTATTTTTTAATGATTTCACCTCAAAAGCAAGCTCTAGAACACCCTATCACGTATACATCATGATAGCATGTTGTTGACATCAGAGTAATTGATCTGAAACTTTGGAAACTCTCCGCCCATCAATTCGCGTTAATGAAAGAACAGAACAGTAGGAGAGGGAATTGTTTCCGTTGCTTCATGTTCTTGGCCTGTTTTTGCCTCGGCCCAAAGCCCCGCCCCTTTTCCTGGATTTGAATTTCGTTTTTAGTAAATGAAACCCAAGGCATTTTCGAATTCTTTTATATATTTCGGTTGTCGTTACAGTGACTTTATTTTTTGGTCTTGTATGTTTGTGTAGGCTTTATGCTTTGTGATATGATTTGATGCTTATCGGATGGGGTAACGTAGGGTAGCATAAGACAGGGTAATGGTATTATATTGAAGGTTATCTGGTGTCATAATATTGTAATACGAATCCAAAATAGATGACTTTTTGGCTTGTACAGTCGGTCAAAAATTACATAGAACAGACAAGAATGGTTTTATAAAAAGTTTTTTAATCTCTTTATATGATTTTTGTTATAGGTAACGCTAAAAGGTATCATTGCTAATCAATAGACTTATAGATAGACTTACGCAAAGTAAGATATAATAAGACAAGGTAGGATACAGTAGGGTAACGTAGGGACGGGTAGAGTAATATAGGAAGGGGTTGGATAGCTAGGGAGTATGATTTTTAAAGTTTCAAAAAAGATAAAATTTAGTATAAGAGTAGCCTTCTAAAAGATATTTAGTTCAGATAAACTGCAAAAGTAGATGTGTAATTACGTAGCGCGATCTAAAACTACAAATTTAGAGAAGTTTATTATTATAGTACACTGTCTAAGTACAGTATAAGAGGTCAAGAATACAGCAAATTAACAATTAAATGAAATTTTACACTTGGAAAAGGAAGTTTTTCTAATTTGAATTAGATTCTAAAGCTTTTGTAGGCTACGAAAGTCAAAAACGGGAAGTGATTTATGAATTTATGAAAAAGGTTTTGTACTCATTTGTTGTCTATTGTACTGATCACGTACCTACCCTTTTTAACATCTTTGTTTGAATTAGTTAAGTATAAAATGGAAAAAAAGTCTTGTGTTACACTACATTTTATCTTTTTTCTGTATTATTAGTTCCTTTGGATATATGCTTTACTAGTACTAAGCGATGCTGTGCCAGTACTACATAATAGTGTATCAGTACCATATAATGCGTTACTTGTACTATATGAGGCTGTATCAGTACTACGTGAGTCTGTATCAATATTATATGATGCTGGGTCGACACTTTATGATGCTTCATCATCACTCTATAATGCTGTACAAGTAATATATTTTTAGATCAGTATATTCTGTTTTACAATATCTTTTGCAAGTCTCATATGTTATTCCAAAAACTTTTGCATGGTATTTTGTGTGAACATACATTAATTATTTTACATTGTGGTACCTTTTGTCAACGATTATTTTACGGCTTACACTTTTGAGAAAATTAGGTGGGTTTTATGGTAAACAAGAAAACAAGGTTGTCAAATTAAGCGGGTCTAATTTGGTACTTTGTCTGATGTTGGTAGTTGAACATATCTAACTTTATTAGAGTAAAAAAGCGGGTATATTAGGGTTTAGACGACTTGTATGGAGCTTTATTTGATTATGTAGGTGCACTTTTATTGTAGTAGTTTTGTACTCAACTACATAGTGCTGTATCAGTACTATAGTTGCACGGTACTTAATATTATACTTGTCACAAGCATAAAAATTCAATATAATGCTATAAAACTGAAGTATAACTATGCCACAACAAATATTGAGTTATAACAATACCACAACACTATACAAACCTTTTAATCACCTCTTCTCTGCTATACTACATCTGCATATATGGCCGGATGACGTTGATGAGCAATGGCACAAACCGTCAACCGTCCGTTAAAGTGGCAGGAAGGGGGGTCTATTATTCACGGCATACTCGATCATAGTAATAAACAATTGTTGGCCTTGGGGTTTGTTTGTTTTTCACAAAATTTACCGTCAAATTTCACGTCGTATCATGCTATCTTATCGTAGGAAATTTGACAATTTTTGTGGAAAAAAATAAATGATCAAAGGGGGGGGAGAATGGGGTTTACAGTAACTGAAGGAGGCTGTTTGTGCATTTTTATTTTTTTTTGCTTTTTTACGGGTTTTGATATTGCATTAATTCGTTAAAATAATTCTGTGCTTCTAATCTCGAAAAATTACTTTGAGTGAGGCACATAATTATTTGAACGACTTATGTTTGAATTAATTGTAGTACCGTGGTAGCTTTAGTATTTCATATGTAAAATAATTTTTTTAAAACAATTTTTTAATTTAACGTTGTCGAAAAATTTTTATCGTTTTTAGCCGTATAAACGTAGATGTTTTGACGACAAGACTTTTCTATCTCTTCGATATTATGATCTATCAGTTAACCCTTTAAAACTTGTTATTACTCCAACATGGCGTCGTATTTTGAACCGCGAATTATATCTAAAAACCTTATTTTTAATTTTATTTAACCTTTTATAGTTAATCCCCCGCTCAACGATGGTCGCGTCTTTGCGTTCGCTTGTTCTCCGACTCTTCGCCGTTCTCTGCATAGTCGCGTTGATGATCGTCAGCTCAGCACCAGTAGACGATCTAGAGGGGTAAGTCCGCCAAATTTTTTTAAAATTGACAGTTCAAAAAAATTTAAATTTTAAATTAAAAAAATTTTTCAAAATTTAAATTTTGAAAAATTTAATTTTAATTTTTAAAAGCCATAAACCCCTCAAAAACCTAAAAACTAAAGTCCTGAGGATTGCATAGTGCTGTATAGTACCATATACAATTACGTACTATATAGCACGCAATTATGTTCTTGCATTTTGCCCATGCCTAATAGCTGAACGTGGCTCTTTAGGACCTAATTTTCGTGTTTTGGGCGAAATTCAATCTCATTTTGCATGGAATTTCATTCTTTTTGATACAATGACAATATTTCGGTATCGTGTTACTTATGATATGATGCGCTTTTTGAAACAATTTTGAGGGCTTTGGACTAAAATTTGAGGTTTTATGTCAGAAAAAGGGTGTGTACTAAAGCTGTAGAGCTATATAGTACTGTGATTTTGATGTATGTATGTAAGTAGTATAAGAAGGTCAAACAAGTTTTGTCGTTTTTTAACGTGAAATTCTTTAGGAATAGACGACAAGACTTTTTTTGGGATTTTGAAAGTCATTATTACTTAAAATCTTTAATTTCTTGTTACGTTACAATATTTTTGTCCCAGTTATAGTACTATATAAGCATTTCTGCCTTAGCTATAGTGTCATAAACATATCTTCTCTAATCACTACCTATTTCCACCACTATATAGCCATAGATGCTGTTTGAGACACCACTGACCTCTCCAATTGACTGTGCCATTTCCGGCCACGTCCCATCGGAGGAATTTTTCATTTTTGTCAAAGAAAAGTAAAAAAGTGTCTTCTTCTTTGTCTTTGGGTGTTAACACGACTACTCTCATGGGGAATCAGGAAACGGTCAGAGGAAAGGCTCTAGATTGGCTTCGGCACGTCATCCCCCCTCTGTCTTCATGCTTGATTGAAGATTCGAGAGTTTGCAAAGGCATGGTCATTATAAGGGTAATAATATTAGTTAGTGATGGCTGTTTTTTGGCTAAAGTTATGACCAGTAACAATTTTGAACTAATTAGCTAGGACTGAGCAGGAAGTCAAAGGAACAACACAATGTTGTGATTGACCTGCCTTTGCCCTGCTTTTGCCCTGCCTTTCCTTGCCTTGCCTTGCCATCCCCTCGCTCTTTTAATCGCGAATTTTTAGCTAAAAAAGTACAGTAACCAAATTTTTTTCTTAATAAGGAAGCTTTCGCTCTAATTAATTTGGTATGTTCTGAAACACTCGTACTCAATAGTATTTTTAAACGTACTTAAATTGAATTTCTTTTCTTAAGTCATTTACAACATATAATTCTGTTTAACAGCGCTCATACTGAATAAGAGCTGCTATATTTAACCTTACCAAGAAAAACAAATTTACACAGTAACAATGAAACGGATTTCAAAAATTTAAAAAAACAGAAATTTCAAAAAAAAACAAATTTGAAAGCAGCGGACACAGTATGAAACAAGTTCTATTATATTCAATTAAATGGCTTCTGGAAGCGGAAATTTGGGTTTGCAAACGTCAATGCATCTTCTCATGCTCTTTTTGAGTCCAAAGACAATAGACCCCATATCACGCTGGTTATGGTGATTTCGGATTCTAATGTCGTTGTTTTATGATCGGAAGTTGAATATGTTACTGGCTTAATGATATGAAGTTGAATAATTTAATGTTTTAAAGAGAGAAAAAAAGGTTTTTTATTTTTAAAAAATTAAAAATTTGAAAAAAGTTTGATTGTTTTTAAGGTCAAAAAGTGTAAAGAAACATAATTTTTAACTCTTGAAGAAATTTCTTCGAAAGTGTTTTTGATATTATAAGGTCGTTCAAATAATTCTGGCCTCCTGACTCCAAAAAATCGTTTTCGAAGGGGCATAGAATTATTTGAACAACTTAATATTATACTGTATAAAAAGTTATGAGCTATGTATTACAGCTTATATAAAGTCCAGTAGCTCATTACTTTTTATAATATTTAAAAAATTTTTTGATTTTTTCAACATTCTTGACATCTATTAAGTACCAGTTTACATACTTTGTTACACACTGGTACTATCATTTAGCCTTGTCTAACCTAAACAACAACATTTCCAGGTTTATAATGACATAACGGTGTACTGAGAACTTTTTCCCTTAATGGCTAGTTAGAATATCTTGGTGTAGTCTCCAGAGAGTGTCTTGTCTATAGTAATTCTCTAAAGCTATTCTTGTTTATAGTACTTTTCTAGATATTTGTAGTCTAAGCATTGTGGTATGATCAGATTTAGAGTAACATTGGTAAGACTAGAAGCTTTTACTTAGCCCTAATGAAAAGAAATGTCATTAGCACTTTTTTGGCTTGGAATTGTAAAAAAAATGTCTACAGAGGACTAATGGCACATAGTCATGTTGACATCATTGTTTTTAAAATTTAAAATTGACAACAGTTCAAAATTTATAAAAATTGAATTCTGGGGTTTCACTAAGGTTATATTGATGTAACTTTTTAAATTTTAAAAACTTTTGAATTTTTTTTTGTGTTTGTATGAACTCTTGACCCTGCTCTCATCAATGTATCGTGCTCAAAACATATTTGTTCCAAAAAAATTGACACAAACAATTTATGCACTTAAAAGTGTCCAGTAAATGCTATAATAACCATTATAAGTAGCAAATAACGTTTTTTCTTAACTAACAAAGTAAACATTTTCAAATGTCTTTTTCTGAACGTCATACACTTTTGCATGGGCTCATTAAGAATTTTTGATATTATGCTACAAACACACATACATATAAGCAAAGGCTATAGAGACCGGGCAAGGCTGGGTCGATTTTTCAGCCCGGCCCAACCCATTTCAAAGATTTAAAGTGTAATAAGTAAAAACTATAAATGTAATAGGCTCATAACTCACAATGAAACAAAGTAACATCATATTTGGACAATGTAAACAATTAAAAATGACGTTTTCAGGTACGCACGAGAAGCGCGTGCACCCAAAGCCAAGTTCATACGATTTGGTCGTGCTGGTCAGAAGTTCATCCGGTTTGGACGAGGGGTGAGTTATAGCTATTTATACATGTTTGAACTTTTTACATACATGTTTGAGGGCAAAGAATACAGTTTACAAAAATATGCTTACATTTTATAACTATAGTAATAATTGACAAAGGCATTCGAGAAACTGTCATTATAAAGAGTGTGTCATGCTGTTGAGGATCATACTAAAGAAATTTTACTGTAACACTAATATATTCTAAAAAATTAAATTTGAAAACTTTTGAAAACGCCATTTTTTGGTTTTGCGAAGGAATATGTATTGTCACAAAGTCATACTGAGGAAGGAATTTGAAGATAATATCCTGCACATTATTATTTGTTTATGAGTTCAATCGTCTGGTTTCTAAATTATAGTATAGACGTTTAAATTATAGCCTAAAATGGTCTAGCTTTTTTAAATTTATGAGCTTTTACAGTGGGTTTTTTTGTTTTTCAAGACCAATACATTCAATTATTAAGTATGTTCTTAACTTGTTACATTAAGCTACACAACTTCTATAACGTATGGAACGTATTTTATACTATAGACCATAGAAAAAACCAAAAAAAATTCTAACAACAGTTTTTTACTGTACTAGGTTATTCAAATAATTCTGTGCCTTTTGACTCCAAAAATTTTCTTCGAGAAGGGTTTATAATTATTTGAACAACATAATATTAAGTTTTATAAAAAGTAATGAGCTATGTTTCATAACTGATTCAGAGTTTTGTAGCTCTGAATCATTTTTGTACGAGCAAATAACAAAATTAGATTTTAAGTACGATAGTACTCGTACTCAAACTGCTTTTAAGATAGTAAACATACTTAAACTGTTCTTAAAAAGCCCTATTTTGTAATTGAAGGCCCTAACATAAACACCCTGAAGCATAGATAACGTATTTATTACGTTCACAACCACATCATGGGTAAATAATAATAAAATTTGTAGTACTAATCGTGCTATTCAAGTGCACAAACATTGAATATAATTTTTTATGTTTTTGCATACGTGCATATTATGTTTATTCTTCTCTTTATTTTTATCAGTTTAAATTAGAGCTTTACAAAGTATATCCAAAGTGGCATGACTTACCTACGTTGGCATTGAAAAAAGGTAGAAGGTTATAGTAAAAAAAGAGAGAAAGATAGGGTAAAAAAAAGTGAATATTGATGATTAGGGGTTTTACTGTAAGTGTTTTAGCTTGTTTTTACTAAGGTATAAAGAACTTGTTTATATCAGTTTAAATTAGAGCTTTACAAAAGTCTTGTCGTTTTTATGGTAAGCTTTGCAGGCTAAAAAACAACAAGACTTTTTCACCCCCTAATATTAATTTTTCTATATTTCTATGTGTATACCGACTTTTTGATACTATTTTCAACATCATAATGCCCATATGCAACCAAAAATGACATATAGGCTATGTCAAAAAAGGAAATTCATCAGTTTAATGTCGGCTAGCGTAATTAATGTAAAAAGTTTTGCAGAACGTTCATTAACTTGATTAAAACTTTTTTATGACTTTGAGACGCCTTTATGGGTATATTCTAGGGCATTGCGCATGTTTAAATGACATTTAGAACTCTAACGCGGAACTTCCATTTTTTGAAATTTTGAAGAATTTATACAAAAAGTGAAATAGCATTGATACAGTATAATAAAATACGAAACATAAGAGTATTTAGAAAATAAATTGTGGGCTCATAATTATTTGAACAACGTAACATTAAATATTATAAAAAGTAATGAGCTATGTCTCATAGGTGGTATAGAGTTCAGTAGCTCATTACTTTTTATACAACAATATATTAGTTTGTTCAAATAATTCAGAGCTCCCAACCTCGAAAATACGCTTTGAAAATGGCTCAGAATTATTTGAACATCCTACTAGTACATAGGCCTTATATTATTATTGTTGTTATGGACAATAAGGCCCATTGTGGTATTGTACCTCATTTTAACGTGGAAAAAGTTGAGAAATAAATAAGACATCAAAATGACAGTGTGTAAGACATTAAAATTACAGTAATCTGAAAGCAATTTCAAAGGTTATCGCATTATAATTGTGTCGTAAAGTTGGCGCTTAACTTTTATGTACAACTTTATGACAATCGGAAAGTGCTACAGGAAAACAAGCACAGTGGGTGATAAAAGCTGAAAATAGTCACATCACGTTATGTGAAATGACAATTCACAAGTTTTGATATTGAAAAATTGAATATATTTTTGGAACTAATAAGACTTTTGGTGATTTTTTTTAATTTGGCGGGTTTTTTTGGCATTATGTAGCAAGTTTTTGATGAAAATGCCTGTTTTTGTAGTAAAATATTGTACATATTTTGATAGAAATCTAATTTAAAGTTGTGTTTTGACATTGACAATGGGTAAAGTGGAAAACAATCACTTGAAACATAATGCCAATTTTGGCGGGAAAACAAAAATTCAAATTTTTGTAATTGTAAAATAGTAAAAATGATTAAATTAGTAATTGTACAAGTTTTAAAATTCTCTTTACTGAGTTTTACATAAAGAGTAGTAAATGCCCTTAGGTTACAATTTATTAAAAATTTTTCGAAAAATCAAATTTTTTTTAATTTAAAGAAAATCATAAAACTATTATAAACTATGCCATTCCAGGGCGCATACGGACCCGAGACCGCATTTCCCTCTTCGGATTTGTTTTACCAATACTGAGTTCTCGCCGTCGCCGCTGCTGCTACTATCCCTGTTAATACCAACGCCGTTTTTACACCGAAACAACAAAAAAGAGAAAAGAAAACATACCAACAACAACATACGATCTCAGTGTCAACAGTCGAGTCGAGTCAACTTAGCATCTCTCTTATTTAATAATATACCTTTACATGTTACCACTAATAAATTGCGTATTGTAGCTTACTACGGTACCGACTACCCTCTATGTTTATGTTCTCGTTCAGGATTTAATAAACTTTTTGTAAATTTTGGTTTAGGTTCGAGGTTTTTCATATTGTTATGATATTTTTGAAGTGAAAACAAAAACTTTAAATAAAAAATTAAGTAGTATAAAAAGGAGTGAGCTACTAAACTTCATTTTAGCTATGAAGACATAAATCATTACTTTTTACACAAACCCAATGATCCAAAAGTCAAAGAAATGGCTTAAAAAATATTTTGTTAACTAAAATTTGGTTTTAAACCTTCTTTTATCTAAATATTACAATTACATTACTAATTCAAAGCCGAAAAGTCCAAAACAAAAGTTGCACCCAAGCGGAATCGAACCCCCATGCTTCTGCACCAAAATATAAGGCCTAACACCACTGCGCCACGAAGACACAAACACTTATCAATCCCCCAAATTGTAAAATTCGAAAAAATTTATTAAATTAAGAAAAAACTATTAAAAATACTACAAAAAATTATTGTATAAACCCATAGTAGAAAGTTACAGTATCGGTGCAAAGTATTCCGCTTTCGTTTTGTCGCACGCTGGGTCCATCGAAGTGTAATGTAAGTTGGGGTAGAGTAGAAAGTAAAGTAGAGCGAAGGTGACAAACCCGAAGAAGAACATCATCTGAACATAGAAGTAATGTAAAGTAAAAAACTGATCTACTATTACTAACCCTACCCATAAAGGGTAAGAGGTGGCTTTCGGCCAAGTTTTTGAAATAATTAAGTGCCCCTTCTCAAAAAAAATTTTAAAGCTAGAAGGCACACAATTATTTAAACAACCTAACATATACATTACCTACAACTATCTTTAGACAATCCCACAAAAGCCCCCGTATTTTACCCCGCCCTACCTGTGTGATCCAATGAAAGCGATGCATAGTTTGAGATGTAAATGTGAATTTAGGTAACAATTTGAGAAAACCGGTTCGTTTTAGCTGTCCGAATAGATCGACCTTGACTTTGGAGCTCTGATGATCACTCGACATTATAGGTATGGCTGTGTATTGCACTGAACACGACCGATAGGGAGGGGATGAACGTTGGATTAGAGTCGCCGTGTTAAGGTTGGAACTAAAACCATATTTACTATTAAAAATATTTCTACAGAGCATCTTTTAAAGTTTTTTAGCCAAAATTTACATATAAATTTATAATTTTTGGTAATTATTTTGAATTTTTAAAGTAAAATACGTCATTGTTATGATTTTGTGGTATATATTATATAACATACTTTAGATCTTCATGATTAACTGGTGCTCCATTTAAAGTTCCACCATTTTCATGGACGATCGTATTTGTGGCAATTGAATTGGCCCTGATTCCTGGCATCATTGAAGCCAACACACTTGCTTCTCGAGCTCTTCTAAAATCAATAATTTAAAACTTTTTTAAATCTTCGCCCTAACGAGTCCTTCCTACCCTCATAAAGATTAGGAAGTACCTAATAAAGAAACCGAGCCCAATTTTCCGGCCCGGCTATTTCCAAATTTGCTTCGGTCCGACCAGGCCCCGATCCTTTATTGCGGGACCTAAGCTGGGCCTTGAGCTTTAACTTGGGCCCGACCCTTGAGCCAACATGTTCAGGGTCAAGCCGAGGCCGGGCCTAGTGGGCGTGTTTCAAGTCTAGTATAAAAAGTTTAGCCTAAATTTAAAATTTTTTTCCTAAAACATTTTTTAACCAGGCTTTGGTGAATTCAGAAATTCAGATAACAATACCAAAAAGCCGAGTGAATTAAATATTATCTTACTATCAATTCAGTTTTTGACTTACTGTCGGTTCAGTTTTTGTCGCATAAACTTGACCAGAGCCAATTTGATCAATGACAAGAACACAATCATAAAGCAAACGGCTAGCCAAATGTCCAAAGCCTGAAATTTCAAATAAATTTTAACACCTGTGTTATAAACTAAAGTTATTTAACTTTGAATTACAAATATAATATGGCTGAGGTAGTTTAACATACGTTCAAGAAGCTGAAAAAAACTTTAACTTACCTTCAAGTAGCTGACCCTAGGCATCATTTCATTGTACGAAAAAATCAAAAACGTGATTGCCAAGATAATTGATATCATATCCTAAAATCTTATCCTATTATTGTTTTTATTAGCAGAAGAAGAATTGGAGAAAGCGTATTTTACAAATCTATATAAGCCAATTTTATATTGACATCATCTATAAAAGATCAAACATCGAATTACCTGAAATTCAGTTTCGCTTTCCATCCATAAAGCTACCCAAGAAGTGATGACTACAGCTGTCGATGGTATAATAAGTTGTAGGAAACAGAAGCCAGAAGCTCGGTTAAATACGAAACATACGTATAGTCTACTGTAGTCTCCTAAAAGTTATTTTTTGTAAAATACAATATATCAATTCGAGATTTAAGTAGCGGATAATCTTAAAACTTTAATTTGTAGATCTAAACCCTACCCTAACCTGCTCAACCTTATCTTACCCCACCCTAACCTACTCAACCTTATCCTACCCTAACCTACTCAACCTTACACTACCCTACCCTCTTTAACTTTAAAAAATTTAAGAAAATGCTCATTTCGGTATGACTTACCAGTAGCATAGCTCTCGATTTGACTAACAACATAGGCTTCTTTCACTTGAAAGTCTGGCAACCTTATTTTACTCAACTTCAAAGCATCGATTGAGCCTTTCGACCATTGATAAACGACTTGATCAGCCGTGTAACCATAGCTTTCTATACCCAACTTGCAGATCTGGGTGTCGAATGGAAACTGAAACATTATAATTTTTTTTTGATTTATGAAAAATTTTTAAAATGTTAAAAAATCTTAATTAAAGTAGTATAACATTGCCAAAATCAATATAAACCTTTCCATTATAACACTTAAACGTTCCATGTTAACACCCCAAACCTACCAAAACAAGATCCATAGGACACTCAGCGACAACAGAGATCCGTCGACTGTACAGAATCCTACCCTTTTCTTGTAGCCTCAACAAAGAACGATGAGAGATGGACTGTTTCTGGGGATTCTTTGAAGCTATAGCATTTGGCATAAACGTATCTGGATGCCACAGGAAATTGGTGTAACTTTCATGCAGCGAAATCTCAGTTTTGTTTTTGAATAAAGATTTGTCATAATCAAGACGATCATCTGTCCAGGTTTCCCTGTAGAACATCTCGAGGGCGTAGTCCTAAATATATCAACATTGAAGTCATGTTGTGCCATTTTTAATGTTATCTCTCTTCAAAGAAAAGTTAGGATAAGAAAGACTAAGTTAGGGTAAAGTAAATAAAAATACGATAAGGTACGATAGAGTAACGTGGAGTGAAGTAGGATAATATACGACAAAGAAGAAATGCGTAGGCTCCAGACGGTAAGATATAATGAGGTAGGGTATAGTAGGATAGGGAAAGGTATAGCAGGGTATAGTAGGATAGGGTAGGGTAGGGTAGGGAGGGTAAGGTAGGGCAAGGTAGGGTTAAGGTAAGGTAGAGTAAGGTAGCTTAAATTATGGTAAGGTAAGGTAAAGTAAGTTAAAGTAGTGTAATAAAAACACTTACCATAGTAACCTCAGAAACAGCTCTGATATTGCTCACGACTATGCTCACGTCGATGAAAACCGGCCCACCATCGTTGATCGGACACTGTCGATGATCGTATTTGATTCGTCGTAGAAATGCCAAGAAATCTCGTGTTTCTCTAAAAAATACAACCACAACTCAAATAAAATGACAGTTTCATTAGTCAACCAAGTACAATATCTATAAGGTTTGTCTTTAATGTTTAAAAAAAAGATAGGGTGGCATAGCAACTTTGACACGTAATGATCTATTAGGTTGTTCAAATAATTCTGTGCCCCTAACTTCGAAAATTAGTTTCGAAGGAAGCTCATAATTATTTGAACAGCCGGATACTACAATATAATCACTTTGACAGTACATATCTTTAAAACTAAGTAAGTAATACATACAAAACTTGGTATCTTCAATGATTATGTTATTCTTCATTGATATCTTTTTCAATTTAACAAACTATTGTTAATACCAACAAAAAATATTTTTTTCGTCAACTCTATCTGCTACAACATAAACATTTCCCCTCTCCTTCACAAAAACCATAACTTATATAAACTCAATTCAAAAACTAAAAATCAGATCAACACAATACTCAACTACCAACCTAAAACACTATCAAGTACTCTATTATCAACCAAGTACAATATTAAAACGACATGAGGGCTGTACACACTATACCTATCGTACATACCCGAAAGCTCCCGTACTGAACATAGCCGCGCTAAAAATCGAAATCAAGCAATTAGAGAGAAAGTACAGTGTAACTGTCATTAATTGACAGAGTACGTGCGGTTAAATAAACAGTATTCAGCCGGAGAAGTAATGTTTATAGTATCAGAACATGGAAAGCATTTTAAACAGTTGTGGGTGGCGTGAAAGGAAAGTCAATTGTTTCATTTTTATTTGATGTTGGGTTAAAAATGACATTTTAAATTTTTTTTGTTTGAAAATGCGCCATTCTTTTTCAAAAAAAATTTAAATTTAAAATTTTTTAAAAAAGAAAGTGACCAACCTGCCTCGCCTAAAACCAGCTTAAAATTTTTATATACGTTCTTTGAACCACGACTAATGCACGTAGAAAATTTTAACTCAGCTTTCGATTTTTAAAATTTAAATATTTGAGATTTCCGCGAATTTGGCAAATTTGGCATTGTGTTTCAAATACTTTTTTCAACTTTGCAGAAAACCTACGCTTAAAAATTTAAAAATATAGGTTTATTTAAAGATTTTCTGCTAGTATATCAAAAAAAAACTCCTAAAAGTCAAAAAGTGACAAAATTATAAGCTTGAAACACAATGCAAATTTAGCAGAATTTCAAAACGTAAATTTTTTTTACATTTCCTAGAAAGTGTGAGTTAGTACTTTGCTGAAGATCTTATATTTACATAATCTATTTATATAAAAGTTTGAAGTCAATCAGAGCGGGGCAGGTCAAGCACTTTCCTTCGAAGTTTAAAAAATTTTAACCGTAAAGCAACCACCGTGCTTTAAAAGTAGTTAAAATTACCTTAAATATTCAAAAAATTAAGAACTTTTAATAATACTGTAAAATAGAGTAACTTTTCGACAAGCCTTACCCTTGTTGAAAAATGTCATCTTTGTCGATTTCCGACTGCATCAACTCTTTCCTCTGCTTTTTCTTGGTACCTTTGTAGTTCAGAACAGGCTCAGCCCAATCTTCTTCCACTGCTTCGTAATCATCAGGCAAGATACCATCAGATATCTCTGCTCCATTCATTGCTACTGCTCGGACCCCTCCAGCCATTCGGCCATTCTGTAAACGAAATATGAAAATAGTGGTCAAAAAGTTTAGAGAATTTACAGATTTCAATATTTTAAAGTTTTTTTGGTCTTACTAGCAAGCCTATAGTATCAAAAAATATTGTAAAGCTAAACCACAGTAAATGAGATCTGTAAAGTAAAGGCACCTAGCCGAGGTTTGCGATAGGCTCTGGCCCATTTGTAGTAAAATACGTTGCAAAAAGTTCGTGCCTTATTAAGTCAAACAACTTACATCAGTATGAACCGGAGGTGCAGCGCCAGCCGCCAACAACAAGTCACCCCTGCCGCCAGCTGCGCCTAAGGCAAGCGAGCCCAGAAAGAAATATGTGCACCATATCCTCACGGCCAATCGAGTAAAGTTGACAATCATTTTGATATCGATCTGAATATCATTTCGCGTAGTTTACTGAAAATGGTCCTTCTTTAGTACAGCTTTTTTTGATATGTAATAGTTAAGTTCAGCGACTACTGTTATATGTGAAGTTGTATTAAGTTGTACAAATAATTCTGGGCCCCTTAATTCCAAAAATTTGATTTGAAAATGAGCACAGAATTATTTGAACGACTTTACAAATTGTAAAGGTTCTGACTGCTGAATAAAATGCGTAAATTGTTTTGTAAAATACGAGCAGTCCAGTGTAATAAATTTATAATTTTTTATAAGAGTTCAGGGCATGTAATACCTATATCAGAAGACACAAATTTCTAAAATTGTTTTTTCAAAAAAACTTTTTTTTGCTTATTTTAGAAATATTTAAAAAAGCACTCCTACACGCAAAAAAACTACCCTACTCACTTTATTATTAAATTGTCCGAATATAGATGACCTTTTCAAAGTAAACTTTATTTTTTGAAATATCGAGCTCAATAACCATATCAAATCATTAAAAGTAAAATATTCAAAAAAAACGGCCGCTCTCCTTTTTCAAAATTTTATTTTTATTTGAAACTTTTTAAAAATATCTTTTTGCTCATTCATACTTGGACAACCATATTTTTAATCGCCCTCCCATGCCTATAACAAAAAAATTTTTAAAAATTAATTTTTCAAAAGTATTTCACGTACTTTAACAAACTTATTTTTCAAAATAAACCCACCCCCACCCAGTAATCAAAACCCCCAAAGCCACTAATCAATAAAAAAACTTAATCACGACCTCGCCAAAACACAACAATCCTTCAAAAACTGTCGAAGGAATGTTCATGCTTCACTTTATAACCGAATTTATTTCGACACATCCGAAAAAACAAAGCCTCACAGACATCTGAATATAATAGATTCGAATTGACGCCATCTCCTTATCTTTATCACATCTGACGAAAAGATGCATTCTAGTACGTTAGGGATGTGCTTTATCTAACATGGGCGTGCACTTTAGAAGCTTATTTACAGATCTGTGTGTACTTATATAGAGTAACAAGATTAATATACTGCCTTATATTAATATTCAGAAGAAAGGGGCAAAATAGATTCTAGTCTTATAGTTACATAGTAAAGAAGAGAACAGTATATAAGAGTAGCGTAGAGTAAGCTAGACTAGTATAGTAGGATAAGAAAGACAGGTATGATAGGGTAAGGCAGAGCAACGCAGAGCAGGCGGATACGGTACGGCTGAGTAAGGTGTGCTGGGTAAATTAGAGCAGGGTAAAGTAACATAACTTTTAAAAACCCTTGCCTTAGTAAAGAAATTATTGTCATGTCTGTCTCACAATGTTGCTAATAACAAGAGTACTGTATCTTTTACAGATGCCAATCCCATTTTCACGTCCTTAAAAACACGAGTTAAAATAACATTTTGTGTGAGTTCGAAAAAGTTTGTGAACTTCCTAATAAAGACGAAAAACCCATAAATCTTGAACTGCGGATCATCTTTCCCAACCCACAATATTCATCATAACAACAAGGGTACTTTACAGCTGAAGAAATGAATATTTTTTTAATGATTCGTACAGTCAAAATCTCAAAACTGTAAAGTAAGGTTTATTACCATTGAAACTATATCATATTAATATATGATGTAAATTGTAAAATACGGTTCAAACATCCATTGTTGATTAAAAACTTATACCCCACTCAACCATATCCTATATATAAAAGCCAACTAAAGCATAAAAGTAAAGCATTTAGACAACACACTATTCGTTGAGTAAATCTGTGAGATGCATAATGACATTTTAAAGCGTTTCAAGCTGCCAAAACATCATAGTTACAAGTCCTTAGGGTATTGTACTAAATATAAGCTTGAAAAACAATAAGAAATGCCCAAGGCATGTGCTAAAACTGCGATGATGTTATCACCAAAGACGTCGCCACAGATTTTTTCTAGAAGAAAACTTCCTGAAGAGACGGCGGCCCTATTAACCCCTATACCATTCTCCCCCCCCCCCCCCCTCTTCCCTCCGCCATAGCGACTTCCCTGTCTATCACAATGTAAATTTGTCTCTACTTGGTATTTTTATCAAAGTACAATATCTTTAACACTATAAGTATCTAAACCAACTGTAAATAAAAACATGATTATAAAATCATAAAACATATGCGACTCATACTGGAACAACTGATACTAAAAAGTACTATAGAAACATAAAATACATAGTAAATAAATAACGACCAGTAAATAAAAAATCAGTTTTAGTCATCATATGACCAGCCATCATCCTATATTAACCCTTCCGTCATCACGCTATATCAATCCCTCCGTCTTCACCCTACAGTAATTGCAAAACATAACCATAACCTCCGAAATTGTAATAAAAACATAAAGTGATGTTTGTTGTGTAGTTTATCATTAAGTGCACAGCTGTTTTCACACGATAAAGTTGTCCAACATCATAAAAATTAATAACCTCTCGATCATGCACATCCTCAACCTCTTACACTAACAGAACAAGTTCAATAAAAGAAAGGATAATATTATGGCATTTGTTGGTTTTATGACTTAAATTTTAAGGCATTAAATGGATATATACCTAGTATTGCACGACGTATTTTACAATTGTATAGTAGTAATATAAAGCGCTACAAGTATTCCATTTAACAAAGCCCTCTCGTACCGTACCTATCTTCTACTCCACAGGGCCGGGCGCGAGGGGGGGGGGACGTAAAGGGGGTACCCCGCCCCCCAGAAAAAAATTTTTGAAAAAAGTTGAACGTGGTCCCCCTGTGAATTTTCGAAAAAAAAATTTGCAAAAAATCGGCACAGCTACCTGTGCCGATTTTTTGGACCCCTGACCCCAGACCAAAAGCCCCCGCCCGGTCCTGACTCCAACCTACCTTACCTTACCCTCATTGCCTTGCCTTGCACTGCACTGTCCCGCCAAGCCCTGCCCTGCGTTGCCTTGCACTACTCTGCTCTTCCCTGCCGTGCCCTGCTCTGCCCTGACTCACCTTGCCCGGCCCTCAGCTCTTTGCAATGCCCTGCCGTGTTCCCCTACCTTATCAGATAAAACTAACACAAAAATCTTGTCAGTTTTAAACATGAAACAAAATTTAAGTTAACGACATGACATTTGTGACGTCTTTTTAGTACTCAAAAGCTCCCCAAAACCCCCAAAAATCATCTCTAAACTACACATCAACGTACAATGTACCCAAACGCCATTTCGCAAACCCAAACCCGATTACAAATGCAAATTTGAGAGTTCGAAATCGACTCTCGACTCTCCCTCGAGATCATTTAGGACAAAAAGTTTGTCATTCGCCGCCGCCCATTTCGAACATCTGGATTTTATTCCTGCGTGGGACATTAAAACTTAGCTCGGGGTGTAAGCCGAAGCAAAAAACAGCTAGTCCAGTGCGTAATCCAATTTTACGACTGTTAAATACCACCCACCGTACCAGTAATTAGCATAAGTTGGAATGGAGTTTAGTAGATTAAAATGCAAGTCGTGCCATTGTTTATTGAATATTTAGTTGTAATTTGTCTCACATGCTTCAGAATGACAAATCTGTTAATCAGATCAAGTTTTCACATCATGCCCTACCTTTCCTTACTTTACGCTACCCTACTCTACCCCACCCTGCCCTACCCTACCATACATTACCCTACCCTACCGTAACCTACCATACACTACCTTACCCTAATATCATAACCTACGCTGCACCTACCCTACCTTGCCTTAACTATCCTATCCTACCCTACGATAGCCTACTTTGCCCAAATTGTTTAATATACCGTAACTTCACTTATCCTAGCCTAGCATACCTTGCTCTTCTCTACTCTACGTTAAAGCTACCGTAACCCAACTTACCTTACACTAGCTGTGCCCCTTACCATACAAGGCCTACCAACAACACCGTGCCTACCGTAAGCTAATCTATAATACTTTCCCTCATTCCCCGTCCCCTTTCTCTACCTTTCCCTCACTATGTCATTGCTTTGCTTGTAGCCAGTCAACAAAAAAACTTTAAAAAAACAGACGAACCCCTCAAACGTTGTAAGAAATCTTGCCATTTACACCTCGAACAAAACAAAAATAGGCATAACAAGTCAAAAGAGATTACTTCGTAACCCCCCCCCCAGACAAACAAGATTCGGAGAACATAAAGCTATAATAATCGAATGGCTTTATCGAATCTTCACGGCCGAAATGACGGCCGTTTCAGTGACAACGTTCATGTCAAACATTTCAAAAATTTGCACAATTAGGATGACAGATTAGAACGAATCCAAAAGCTTGAAACATGACGAATTACTACAACCCATCATGCTGGTTATGTCATCTAATTATAGGTTTTTGAAACTTTATTTGTTTTTTTGGTATATTTAGTCTTTTTACTGTAATACAGTGACCTATGGGTGTGGTGAAAATTAAATTTTAATTTTAAGTTCATGCTTGTGATCAAAATGTCACAAATGGTTTCAAAAAGTGTCGTTTAAATGTCATCACACGTCTAATAGATCAAAGATCTATATCTCTGTAGCCTAAACATTAAAAATTTTAAAAACTAAATTGTTCACTGCCTAACACAATATTCACAGACCTTGCATTTTATTTCTGAAATGTATTAAATTGTTCAAAAAATTCCGAGCCACTAACCCCGCAAACTTGCTTTGAGAAATGGCTCAGAATTATTTGAACAACCTAATACTTTGGTCAAAAAGTAAGTAGAAAAAATTGAATCTTCATAACTCATAGAAAATCAACTATTTTTTAAATTTTTAATATTAAGTTGCCAAAAAAGTCTTGTCGCTTCAAAAACAAGTGTTCCTTTATGAAAAACGACAATACTGTTTTCACTCAAATACCATATAACTCCTGTCGTATTTTACAACTTTATAGCAATCTAAAACCCCTCAAAATGCCAAAACTTTCAAACCAACTAAAAAAACTTTAATTTAGCACGATCATCCTCAAAAAGCCTTGTGGTCTGAAGGCAAATCACACGTCGAACAGACATTTAACGTCTTGAAACTCGAGCAAATCCCATAAAATGAGTTGATTTATTCGGTAGCCGGAGGCATTTTATTCAATCCGCTAAATGTGAAGACACTTTAAAACATTTGGAAGTGTTTAGATCAATTATATTACATGCTTCGGCTCGAAACATTCAAGTAGAGATGTTATAGGTACTGTTGGTATGGAATATTAGGTAGAAAACAATATTGTTTATGTTATATTAAATTGTTCAAATAATTCTGTGCCCCTAATCCCGAAAATTTGCTTTCAACTGAGGCACAGAATTACTTGAACAATCTAATACAACATGAGCTTGACTGATACTAACAGTACTTTGTAGGTACTGTAACAGTACTATATACGTACTGATTGTATAAAGCATGATATGTATAGCATATAACTGTACAAACTGTAAAATTTAAAGACTATGTGGTAAAAGATATGTTACAATGATATGCAAGTAAAAACTTAACTTTTCTTTTAATGCAGAAAGAATGGCGTGTACTATAAAAAATAAATTTTGACCAAATAGTTTCATTAATTTTTGAAAAAACAATAAAAAAAGATAAAAATAATAAAAATTTGAAAAAAATAAAAAAAGCAAGAACTTTCTTTACAATTACAGTCGAACCTCCTTATTATGACACTCAAGAGACTGGTCCACACCTGTCCTTATAATCAAGATGTCACACTATTCAAATACTTTTTCATAATCGCTCCTATGCTCGTATTTTACAAAATTAGTTATTTTTCTTGACCAAACCATTTTGGTCATCATCATGCCTTATTGGGCTGTAAAACATATACACCACAACTAAAACAATCTCTTGTTGGTTTTAGGATAGCTATTTAATATATAGAGTTCATTGGCTCATTACTTTTTATACAATCTAATATAATATTATATATAGCTTGTTCGAATGATTCTGTGCCCTTCTGAGACCGAACACTTCTTTTGAGAGAGCACAGGATTAGTCAAACAACCCAATTTTTTAAATATTTTTCAAACGTTTACAAACAGACTCACCACTGCCAATTAAACATATACTGAACATGGCAGCTAATGATGTTGCCACATATAAAGCACTATACTCCATCCATGGAGCTACTTGCACTACTTGATCGGAGAGGAAGGGCTAAAACATAGTATATGATGAATTAACCAATAACAATGACCGTATTTTACAAAAGCATTTTTAAAATTTAAAAATTTACATTTTCTCATCAATTTTTAAAAATTAAAAAAAATTATTAGATTGTTCAAATAATTCTGCGCCCTCTGACCCCGAAAATTTTCTTTGCGGCAAAGCACAGAATTATTTGAACAACCTAATACTATGAACTTGAGTGATATCAATATATTCACTGAAAAGCTATCAAAACTTACTCTTCCAAATAATACTAACACAGTACACGCTGCTACGGTAGCTACAGCCATAGTTACAGTTATTATAATACATCTATGTACAAAGAATGACACTTCACTCATAAGACCTAAAATAAATTTGAAGTTTTTAAATTTTATTGTAAAAATTTTAAAAATTGAAAAAAATATTAAAAAATGCAAATATAAGCATGAAATATACATTCAAACCCCAAAAATAAATCAAACTCACTTAAAAACCTAATTTACAGTAACTTTATTCCATGCTCAACAATGCCAACATAATAATGATTAAATAAAGAAGTAAAGAGTTCATAACAACATAGACAATACCATTACACGGCCAGTATAATCAAAACCAAATTTATGGTTCTAATCACCGACAATCTTCAGGAAGCTTAGCCGCCGCATCTTTTTTCATTTCCGGAGCATCAATCATGATTGGAGGCTTCCGAAGCGCGACTTCTGGTTTCTTCCCAAACTTGGCTCTCAGTTTTGCCAACTTTTCCTCAACTTCAGGTGACATAGGTTCTTCTGAAGGTTTCGGCTTCTTCTTTGGTTTAGCTTTAGAAACTGGACTTGATTGTGATGGTTTTTCTACTGGTTTTGGAGATTCTGCCTTTGATTTTTGCTTTGCAACATTATCGGCTTCGGCAAAGTCCTAAAAATAAGTTTTTATTCAAAAATTTAAAAGACATGTAAATATTATATATAGTAAAAATAAAACCCTTGTAACCTTAAAGACATCTAAAAACAAGAAGGCAATAAAAAAATTACATAAAATTTTACAAAAAACGGCCAAAAAAGAAACTGCCTCATGCTGGAATCGAACCAGCGACCTTCTGTTTACTAGACAGACGCTCTGCCCCTGAGCCAATGAGGCACACTCGCTTTGCTTTTTATTTTCTCTTTCCTTTCTTTTTGCGAATATTTTTAGACATAAACTGAATGTTTCGGGCTATTTTCTTTAAAAAAGTCTTGAAATTATACTAAAACACACCGTAAAATGGATCAATTAAGGCCTGAAATATATTACCTGAATTAATTTTTCCAATCGAGTAGATGTCTTGATCACTTTGTCCTTGTTTACTTGAATTTTATCCCTTGTCTTGCCTGATTTACTAACATTTTCGTCTTTTTCTTTGTTTTTAGCTATCATTTCATCTGCTTTAGGATTATTAATATCAGTAGTGACTTTTCCCGCCCCAGCTACATTGGCTTGCTTCTGTCTTGACATATTTGACACTGAAGATACGAAGGAACGAATCTCGTTGACAAACTCAGCATCTTCTACCCGTTTCTTGGCCTTTTCTTCGTCCTCATCTTCTCCCTCACTTTCACTACCTGATTGAGCATTTTCAGCAATCTTCAGTTCATTTAATCGTGTAATAAGTAATCTGTCAGCATCCGTAGAAAACATTACATCGATAGATTTTGGCGCTGAAGAAGGATTTTGAGGCAATTCTAGCTGATATTCCTTTTGTTTTCGATCCAGACTCAACCATAATGGTTCGTCGTGAAGCTGCATTTGAATATGGTTTGATTTGGCTAAACAGAATCCTGAACAAAACTTCTCGGACTTTGGAATAGCAGTGTAAATCTGGAATTATTATTCTTCTTAGATTGGAAAAAGTTGTAACACAATTGTTTTACCTTCTTTTCCCGTTTCTGAATCCAATACTTCTTTCCCATAAAATTGCTGACAGTCACTTTCTCAAAGCACGTCGGGTAACCACAAGACCTGGCCAAATACCTCTCTTCAACCACTTCATCCCAAGAACCAACGTCAAGATGATGTAACTAAAACAATAATAATTATAAGTAAGTTTAACCAACCTTTTCCACTAGTTCTGCATCCCCAACAGTGTCGATTAATGATACAATCGTATCAACGACTTTACGATGTGCTTCTTTGGCTCTTAACGCATTTTCTTCAGCAATCCGTTTAGCTTCTTCTAACTCTTCTGGAGATCGTTCAACTACACCACATTTCTTTGCTGGAGACTTTGCTTTTTTAGTTGTAGACATTTTTACAAGTTTAGGAGATCAATTTCAATAGTTTTGTCCGAGAAGGAACAGAATTTTGCGGTATTTCGAAAATTTTATTTTATTTTTATTTATTTATTTTGGTCCCACCACGAAAACTAATAGTTGGCGTAACGTTAAATGTAGGAGATAGATTTTGGCCAACATGTTTGTTGTGAATAAAGCTTTAATAACGATTTTACATAATATTCTTTTTTGTTTTAGCTTGGTGTTTTTGAATATTATATTATACACGTCATTGAAACTTTTTATGACCGTGATCTTTGAGTTGAATTGGTATTTCTAGTTGAAACTTTGTTTTTTAGAATGACGGAAGCTCCGGCAAAATTTACGTTACCGAAGCTCCAAGAAAACGCTGGAGGATGGGGTCCAGCTCCGCTGGAGAACTCCGACTCCATGAAGAAGTTTGTTAACATGCCATTCCAGTTGTTCAACAAGTGTGATCGTGTTGGAAGAATCGTTGATTGGCTTGGTGTAGAGCGCTACAAGAAGAGCGATACTCGTAGGTGTTTGTAAACAAACTATTTACGTTTTTTTTGTTAGTTTTGATTAAATTTTCTTTGGTTTTTATTGTTATAGGTGAACGTTACAATGAGCGTATGTATGGATCTTCTCAAAATGCTGGAAGTCAATTTGATTATGTTCATGATAACGAAGAGTCCAACTTCCAGCTGGTTGATTCGTCCAAGCCACAAAAACCAGCAAGACCTTATCGTAGAGCCCAAGTGCCATTCAAGAGATTGCTTCAGAAGGAACAAGAACGTCGCGATCAACAGTTCTACAACCAGAGCAACAAAACCAAGCGGAGTATCGCCAAGTAAGTTTCTTGTTGTTTGTTGTGTTTTTAGGTATGGAAGGGATTGAATTGTGAATTTGAAGATGGTTTAGATGTCAGAGATGATTATAATAAGGGTTTTTGATTAATTTAGGTGGAAAGCAGCTTATTTTGATCATTATTGATTTACGTATGGTATATCTATTGGTCTCTTAGTAAAATTGCATAATTAAGAGGATGTTTTATGTATTTGAACCAAATAATTACTTTAAACAAACATCCTAACTTATAAAATATTACAATTATCTTTCCAGGGAACAAAACCGTGCTTACAAGTTATGGCAAAGGCGCGGAGGTATGCGTAATGGCCAACCTAACCGCCAAATGGGTGGACGTCGTTTCGGAGATCGTCAAGGTGGCAAAGGACGTCAACCTTCAGTTCAAGTCAGGCCTGATTGGAAGATCCTGTGGGATTTGGAGTTCTCTAGATTGGCCAAGTTGTCTTTGCCAAACATTGAGGGTCAGGATATGTAAGTTTATTTTTTATATGGCTTCTAAGTATCAATGAGTTTTTATACAACGCCTTTGTTTTTAACATGATGGTTTTTATGGATTAAAGTATTAATTTTCATTTCAGCAAGGGCGAAAACTATGGCATCTTGTACTACTACGATAAGAGCTTGGATAAGGTGACTGTGAAGAACGCTGTACCTCTTCAACGCTGTAGTGGTATCTTCTACAATACATCGACCACTGAAGATCCTGTTATCATGAAGTTGGCTCAAAGAAACGAAGGAAACGTCTTTGCTACTGATATTATTCTAGCTACATTGATGTCGGCACAAAGATCGTCGTATTCATGGGACATTGTAGCTCATCGTGTAGCCGATAAATTGTTTTTGGATAAAAGAGATACTGGAGATATTTCCAACCCAGTCGGTATGCGATTTTTTTGTTTTTGATTAAATGGTTGATTGGTGTCGCAATTAATACTCAGATACAAAGGGATATAATTATGCTAATTCATTATTATTTTAGACGCCTTGACTGTTAGCGAAACAGCCGTAGACCCGCCAACCTGGGACTTGTCTGTTCCCCTTAACAACGCCCAAGATTTGGCCACTGAAGCCCTTTTCATCAACCAAAACTTCCGTCGTTTATGTTTGAAGAGAAGTGAAAAGCCAATTACTTTTGATCATCCAAGAGCTTTGTTCGAAGATGATTCTCCAGACTCAAGAGCTGATTGTCTTTACAAATACAGAAAATGGAATTTGGGAACGTCGGAACAAGGAAAACCAATCACTTTGGTCGCGAGAACAGAGATTGATGGTGCACTAGTACCCTCGGATAAGGACAAAGAGCCACAGAAGTTGACCATCAAGGCTTTCAACGAATGGGATAGTACTGTAAGTTTTGGAATTTTTATGTTTGACTTTTAGTTATAAGTCAAAATATTTTTATTCGTTTTTGATAAGATCACGGAATGAAGAGTAATTTTTATATCTTTACTATGTGATTTTATATTGTAGCACTGTTAATTACATGGTTAACTTCATATTATTTTATTTTTTCAGCAGGCCGGTGGTGTCCGTTGGCGTGGCAAGCTCGACGCCCAGAAGGCAGCCGTTTTGGCCACAGAAATCAAGAACAACGGATGCAAGTTGGCCAAATGGACCCTCCAAGCCATACTCTCCAACTCTGATTACCTTAAGTTCGGCTATGTCAGCCGTGTGTCGCCTCGCAACAGTGCCCAACACGAAATCTTGGGCATGCAACAGTTCCGCCCTCAAGACTTTGCCAACAACATCTCTTTGAACATGGACAACTCATGGGGAATCCTGAGAGTAATCTGCGAGTTCCTGTTGAAACAAGAGCCTGGAAAGTATTTGTTATTAAAAGACCCGCTTCAGCCTGTTGTACGTATATACAGTCTGCCAGAAGGCACCTTCGACTCGGACGATGAAGGCGAAAGCGACGAGGAAGACGACGAAGATGAACAATAATTATTTACTGTTGTTTTGGGATTGCAAAATAAATTTATGTTGTTGCAAGCTTTTGGATGGTGTACTAATTTGTCTTTGTCTAAATTTATTTTTTTTTGTTTTTTTTATTTGTCAATTGCATTATTTGTTTTAGAGCTTTTATTATAATTAATATTAGTTATATTTTTCTATGAAAAAATAGGATTTTGATTTTTTTGGAAATGTTAATGTAGGACTTTGAAAATCAATCTTTTCCGATATTATCTATGAATTATTTACTTCGTCTTGAAATGTACGATTGATTTAAAATTGAAAGTGAGGAGGTGCCGGACATGAAGATTCAAGATGGATCTTTAAAATCTTATCAAAAACAATATTTCGATGAAGATTCAAAGACCCGGAGGCAGATTTTTGTTAAAAATGCGCACGATTAGTAAGGCAGAACTTGACCAGTCAAATAAATTAATACGATTCGAATACCAGTACTCGAAAGTGGAGGCAAACAGTACGAGTATTCAGACGGAAATAGTACTGTTAGTTTGTGTGTGAGAAGAGAGACGTTAGAGTACAGTGTAGAGTGGTATTGTACAGTATGTCTCGGAGACGTAGACGACAGAGTTTGGTGAAGTTGGTTGTTGATGGGTTCGTAATAGGTAGCTTTGTTGATATAGTACCGTACGTTAGTATTGGAGGGTTTACAAGCTATTGGTAATTGTTATATTGCTGGCAATACTGTGATATAAACAGTACTATATACAGAGTACCACAAAGTAAAAATAGGTACAATGTAGTACCGCACCTTCCAGTTCGATTACTTTTTGCGTGTTTCCATATCCTTCTTGAACGATTCGCTAGTCCTTCTGAAGCGCTTACACTCTCGTGTTGGCGATCGCTCAGTTCGTGGCTTCAGAATATACGAAGCCATGATAGGAATATGGTCGGACGGTACATGTGGATGAGGGAATCCAATCAGATTGTTCTCTCTGATCCAGTTCGGCCATATCCCACCCAGGAAACCGACTCGGTCCAGCGAGTGCGGTGTCGTCAAAATGTAGTCGATCATGCCTTTGAAGTCGGGTCTGAAATGAGGTTTGGTTTTAAAATGGCAGTTTAAGTTTAAAGTGGCACTATAAATGGCATATTATAACATTTTTTACAAATTTTAGATTGTTCAAGTAATTCTGTGCTCCATAAAAAATTGACTTACGTTACATTAGTGTTGATACACTCATTAACATCGATGGAACTTTCCAATTTCAGCGAATGTGAGTAGTGTGTACTGTCGTACTCGTTAGTATTGATACCATCTAGTACGATATTGTTGCAGAACGACTTCAGATCCGTATGGGCTTTAGGAACCGAGGCGTTAATCAGATATTGAACAACCCCAGATTCTGGCAGAGAGTTGAAGTCACCACAGATGATAAGGGGGACTTCCTGAAAAGAGGTAACGTAAGATAAACAGATTTTTCAAAAAACTTTTTTAATTTAAGAAGGTCAAAAAAAGGAAACCTTACCTCCAATGGCAAACTAAAGTCCTTGGCAGTATGTTCAATTTGTTTCGCGCACTCATGGATCAGCATCATGGACTGAATCAGCTTGACATCACAATATTCCGGATCCCAATGAGTATGAGCAGCACACAGCACCAATGGAGTACCAATGATCTGGTCATTCTGATCAATCTTATCAGATGAAACCTTATCATTCTTAACATTCAATGGATGTTGTCCCGGTTCAACATAAATGCCTGGTAAGATCTCCATCGTGGCTAACAGAGCGATATTATCCTTGGGCATTACTCGATTAATAATGGCTTCGCTTTGATGCGACTTGTTGATGGCGATCTGAGCAAACTCTACCAGATGTTGTTGTCGTATCTTGAACTTGCTCGTTCTCCAGAACAAAGCACAGCCATCGACGTGCTTCTGGTTGTCCTTACTCATGGTTTTGGATCGTGACTTTGGACTGAAGATACCATCATAGCCTCGAGCCTTGAGTTCAGGTTCGTAGAAGACTCGGAATTGTTCGGCTTCGACTTCATGAAGACCCAGGATGTCAGCATCGTAGGTGAGGATCTCCTTCATGATGATGTTTTTGCGATACTCCCAGTTTAGTGCCCATAATGGGCAGTACGAGTAGAGTGATGGTGTAGCATATGTGTCGCAGAGAACATTGTAACAGAGTACTTTGAATTGAGCTACTGGCTTTCCGTTATTTGTCAGGGTCTTGATGGCAAACCAGTCTCGAGGCGGAGGCTTGGAAATGGTTTCTGGAAAAGGTTTGGGTAAAGGGATATATTATTGTATGTGGGAGATAAAGTACTACTTTAACGGTTTATATTGTCCTAAAATACGAGAAACTATTTTTTCTTTTTAAATTTTGAGCTCTAAATTTACTATTAGGTTGTTCAAATAATTGTGAGCAGAAAATTTGCGTTGAGAGGGGGCCCAGAATTATTTATAAAACAATAAAAATTGGTTCTTTTTAGAAAGAATTTAAAAACTTAAGTTTTATGTAATAACTTACTTGACAAACTATCCAGTAGGTATTGCTGAAGATTCCGAGAGCCATGTGGAGTACTTCCGTAGCTCAAGACTTCTTTTGGCAATGGATTTCCAGACACATCTAAACATTATCTTCATCATTTTGTTATTTCTGACAGATTTAGGTAACATTTTAGCTTTTTTAAAGCAGATTTTGTTGCTTGAACCGTTCAGTAGCTCATTCATTTTTATACAACTTATTGCCTAAAATCAAAAACAAATTCAAACACTTACTGAGGGTTTTGATCTTGTAAAGCTTGCCCAATTCGACCGGTAAACTGGCCAATTCGTTGTCAGACAAGTTCAAATGGAGCAAATTAGCTATATCACCCAATTCTCGAGGTAAAGCCACGAGTTTATTGTGTGACAAGTCTAATATTGACAGATGATGTAGGTAGTTGATCTGAGCTGGTATCGTTTTTAAAAGGTTGTGGCTAGCGAACAGCGCTGTTAAATGGCGCATATTCAGGATTTCCTTGCTGATAACGCGGACTGATCCTGAAATTTTGAGGTTTATGGTTGGGTTTATATTAGGTTGTCCGGAAAGCTCTGCAATATTTATTCACTTTTGAACTAACAATAATAACAATATAATTAACAACTACAATCAATCAAAGTAATTACCGTCTGAATCAATACAGTCTTGCCAACGATTTACAAGCTTTTTTATTCCACGATTGTAGAATTCCGGGTTTCTGGAGTTGATGAAGTTCTTGAAGGCATTCTTGGCATCGTCCGGAGTTTTGAAGATTCTTCCATTAAGAAACGAAGACAAGTGTTTAAAAAGGTGAAAGTCCGTTGGAGCCAAGTCTGGAGAATAAGGAGGGTGCTCCAAGACTTCGTATCCCAGTTCCCTGAATTTTGCCACGGTCTTCTTTGCAGCATGGGGCCGTGCGTTATCCTGCAAAATGATCGGACCCCTCCTTCTGACCATTGTTGGAAGATTGTGTCGCAGTTTGTCAATCTGGGCACAGTAGGTGTCGGCCGTAATACTTTGGCCAGGTTTCATGAAATCGTACTGGATCACTCCAGAGCTACACCACCAGACAGTCACCATAAGCTTCTTTTCGTGCAATTCTGGCTTCGGAACGGGCTTAGGAGCTTCTCCACGCTTACACCAACTTGTAGATCTTCTAGTATTGTTAAACGAGATCCACTTCTCGTCAATAGTTACAATTCGATCCAAGAATTCTCCGTTTTTGCAGCGTTGCAGAAGCTTTTCGGAAGCACACCGTCTCTTGGCTTTTTCCAGATCAGTCAAATTGTGAGGCACCCATTTGTCCAACTTTTTGACCATACCCATTGCCTTCAAATGATCATCAATGGTACTTTTTCCACAGTTTAGTAACTCTTCTAACTCCCGGATTGTAATATGTGGGTCATCTTCAATCTTGCGCCTCAGGGCATCTTTGTCAAGTTTGCTGGGTCTTCCTGCACGTGGTTTGTCTTCAAGCTTCTCATCGTCCACACGAAACTTTGCGAACCATCTGGTCACCGTAGAATAACTCACAACATTCTTACCCTCATTTTCGTTTATGATTCTGAAGGTTTCTGCCGCAGTATTTCCGCGTTTGAATTCATTCCATATAATCACGCGCAGGCGAGATTTCTCCATTTTTTTCTAATACCTAAAACAATACAAAAAAATGAAATTAAGTTATGTAACTTACCTTTTTGAATAATTTAGGTAATAAACAAACAAACAAAAAAAGAATTTTTTCTTTCCGTCAAGAAATAAATTTTTCCTGATTTTTCAAAGTTTACCTACTCTAATATTGCAGAACTTTCCGGACAACCTAATATTAGGATTGGGCATGGATCGATGGTTTATGTTAAGGTTGCCATATTATTCATGATTTTTTTGGTTGTATAAATCTATGTGCGAGCTTGCGGCTCTAAAACAATATATATTTGTTACCTAAAATTTCATTTTTTTCATTTTTAAAACAAAATTTTGATTTTTTCATTCCAAAATGTCACTTTTTCAATCCCCACCCATAAATTTTCTTATCACAAATAAAAAATAATGTTATCTCAACCAAAATTAACTTGTTTCTTATCACCCAACTCGTGGGCAGTAAAATAAACCCGTACCATGAAGTTCCAACTCAAACCATCTGGCCGGCTTTTTTTTGTTTGAACTCGTCGCGGTCCAAAACCCGATGCGTTCGCTGCGCACCGTTCTTGAGCACCGTGCGACCTTCGCCATTCGGCGTCGCGGCGGATCCGTCGTAGCGCCATTCGCAAGAAAGTCGATTCTCTTCCACATCCGTCGAGTCTGAAAGCGTACAGAGGTTAGTGGAGGAGACGTCGTTTTGGTTTTTTTTCGAATTTCGAGGTTTCAAACACTTTAATGGTTCAAAAATGAGAGAAAAATATTTTTCTCGATAATATTACGGTGTTCAAATAATTCTGTGCTCCGTCACAGATCAACTTTTTTGGGGAGGAGCACAGAATTATTTGAAAAAACTGATAATTTTTTCAAAAAAAGATAAGATTCTTCCTAAAATTCAAAACGAAAAATGAAACTCTTGAACTTGCCTTCAGCCATCAGATGAATCTTTTGGAATCATATAAAAGAAAGCACGTGCAATCTTTTGGTAAACAAATGTTAGCGAAACCGTTAACCCTGAAAAAGGAGAGGGATTTGAGCAATTTTTTTGGTTTTTCAAGCTTCGAAAATCTGCATACAATTCGACACGCGCCACAAAAGGTGAAAAAACTTGTTTTACACACGGAAAAGCTGAAGGATTATTCAACAATATGGGTGGGGATGGGAATAATAAGACTAAAAGTTTAAAAACAAGGCTTGTAGGTTTGAAAACTAGGCTTAAAATTGAAAAATAAGGCTTGTAGGTGAAAATATTAAAGTTTAAAATTTCAAATAGGGCTTGTAAATTTGAAAAGTAGGCCTGAAATTAAAGAATAATGCTTGTAGGTTAAACTATTTATACATTTACATTTCAAACTATGCTTCGCTTTCATTACACAGGTAGAGCGGGGTAAAATACGTAAACTTTTGGTCAAAGATAGTAGTAGCCAATATTTATTAGGTTGTTCAAATAATTCTATGCCCCCTACACCTTAAAGTTTGTTTTGAAAGGGAGCACAGAATTATTTGAACAACCTAATATTAAGATTTAAAATTAAAAAATAAGACTTGCAAGTTAAGATATTGAGGTTTAAAACGAAAACATTGGGCATATAGATGTAAAAAAGAAGGGTAAAGTTAAAAAGTTCATTAACTAAAACTTAAAAGTTAACGGTTATAGTCTAGCAAGCCTGTTATCATTATTAAAAGGGCAAAGTACTGGTCTTCTGTACACAAATAAGCCTTTTACAAGCAAATGAAACACAGCAAGTGACGTTCCTATACAAGGTGTATAAGAAATGTTTTCAAACTGAAAATCTCACAAAATGGCATTTTTTCATTCCCTACCCATAGTATACTACCCTTTTTAAAACCCAGCTCGCTCCAACTTTTCCCAAACCACAAGTAATTAGAATTGCGATGTGACGCATCGCCCCATGACCTTAAGCCCATAAAGTTTAGGCTAAAGTCGAACAGTTCAACGGTTACACGAGGGCTTTTACCCGTTCTTCCGCTTACAACCTTATCCCTTCTACCTCACACACTCTGGTGGAGACGGAGTGGAGTTGAAAAAAGCGGGGGGCAAGAAAAAGCGGGACGACCACTCGGTCCCCCTTTTTGAAAAAAAAATTTTTTCCGTCTTTTATTCGTCTTCGCCCCTCGCTTCGGTCCTTATATAAAACCATTTCGGCGCACTTAAAGCTGTGCACAGTCGATGGAAACAACGAATCGCAATGGGGAGGGGGGGGCGTCAGGGGAGAAAGGTCAACCAAGAATGGGGCAGAATTAAAGGCATTATTCTTGTATTAATATAACGACGGGAATTAAGCCCGTCGTCGCAATTTGAATAGAAGAAAGGAGCGCAATCGAGTTCCGGAGGTTTGGGTAAATTAGAGGGAAAAAGGAGGTTTAAGGGGCGAGGATGGAAAAACTCTTAAGGGGAAATTAGAAAACTTTAAAGTGGGATCGAAAGGAGGGTTAAGTTTTAAAAACTTCTGTTGAACTAACTCATTTCTCAATTACAGTGAAACCTTTAGCATGACTGTAGATAGTATGACACCCTCTTTATAAGGACAGCTTTCTGCCCTTTGTAATAGAAATCTTATCAAAAATGACCTGGATAGTGTTGGTCACTATCCAGTGTGACATTCTGTTGATAATGGCACTTTGGTCCAGACCCTTGAGTGTCATACTAATCAGGTTTGACTGTAGTATGGCGACAAGACTTTTTGGCTAATAAAAACCACCTGATCCTAAGATTAACCCCCAAAACCTGGTTCAACCTTTTATGTATTGTACTTAAGAGGTTCAACTGTATCTATAATGTCGTACTAAAAAGCCCCAACTGTACCTAATAGGATAGTTTTACAGAACTGCGTTTAGGTCGCTTTACCAAAAGACAACTTCTTTTTGGTGCTAAGTCATAAAAAAGTTTTCAAAAAGTAATGAGCCGTGTATCACGATAATCTTCGTATTTTATAAGAAGATTCTTATTAAAAATTTTTTAAAAATTAATCGCGGAATAATATTTTCACTAATAAAACCACGCAAATCACTTTAAAAATAATAGAGTTTAAGCAAATTTAAGCGCTCTAACCCCAATAATAAATACACCATCTGTCGCTTTTTGAACACTGTTAAACTGAAACAAACTTTGTGAGATTCAAGTTAAATTTTGGCTTACATAGGGCTTGTTAAGGGTAATTTCGATAAGAAATTTCTAAAAAAATTACAAAAAACGGACTTTTTAAGCCTATAACGAGGTTGTTCAAATAATTCTGTGCCTTCTGAATTCGAAAATTTGCTTAGAGAGGAGCACAGAATTATTTGTACAACCTAATAGTCTGTTGATAGTAATTTAACCATTGAACAAGTTATTTTTAAGGTATAGAAAACAGCTCTAAATACCACTATCTTGAAAATACAATACCTCCTTAAACTAAGCAACACAATACCTTACATGCAATACGTAACATTCATCAGCACAACTTCTTGAACACAAGAACTGTTTACCATTAAAACAATTTATTAAATGACACTGAAAGTAAAGGCAATTGAGCCACTTTCTGAAGCAGTTTGCTTCTTTGAGTCAACGTTAATTAACAGGTAGCAAAGATCGTGTCAAGGTGAAAAAACACGTCGACTGTACTTTTATTTGAAATTTTTGAGCGCAAAAAAAGTGACGACTATAAGTCGAAAGAAGTATGACAAACTTTACTCTTTGGTTTTAGTTGTTACTCTGTTAGTGGGTACTGTAATATTTATTGTCCTACAAAAAATTAGGTTTAGTTTTTAATTTTTTGAGCTTTTTAATAGATAAAGCGTTGTTATACGTCTTAACTGTTAGCTTTCGGTTTTAAAGGCATTTTTTTAAAATTCTGAATTAAAATTCTCCACAAATTAGGCAGAGTATTAACAATGAAAGTGATTGACCTGCCCCGCTCTGATTGGTTTTTAACTTTTATATAGAAAGATCATGTAAATATAAGATCTTCAGCAAAGTACTAAATTGCGCTTTACAGTAAACCTCGAGAAAATCAAGATCAAAAAATTCCTTTTGAATTTTCCGCTCAATTGGTATTGTGTTTCAAGCTTATAACTGTTATTTTTTTAACTTTTAATCATTTTTCTTTGACATACTGGTAGAAAACCTTCAAATGGACCTACGTTTTTAAATTTGTAAGCGTAGCTTGTCAGGAAAGTGAAAAAAGTGCTTGAAACACAATGCCAAATTTGCTAAATTGGCGGAAAACTGAAGTATTTAAACTTTAAAACTTAAAGCCGCTAGGTAAATTTTTTATGGGCACTATTGGTGGTACAAAGAAAGCCTTGGCTACAAACTATTAATTCTTTTTGCCTCAACTTTAAAATCAAATAAGCTACATACCGAAATTTTAATTTCAAACTGTTTATTTTGATACTCTTTATGACTCTTGAAAGACATAAAACCAATTGTAAGAAAATTGTTCAGTGAATTCAAAATTTCGGAATCAAACAGGGAAAAACAAATTGAGTCGTGCAAATTGAAAGATGAAACAAAACTGAAAGCCAAACATAGCTAAACTCGTACGAAAAACACCAAAAACAATATTAATCATGCTTAAAGAGTATTGACAGTAACTGTTACGAAAATATGTTGATAGTGGTAACGTTGTTGGTGGAGATGCGGTGGGTTGTGGGAAGGATACTGTGGTTTTAGTACTGTTTTGAGCTTATCAAGGTTCATATAGAGCTAGGTATGATGAAGATAGTACTATTTTTTCAAATAGTACTAGCAGTACCATTTTTTTATAAATAGTACAAACTTTTTACGTACTATATCGTCTTTGAACGTAGTACCTTAAATTGCCTCCTTCACTAACCTTCGTAAACCTTTCCCACACCCACACCACCCCCCGCAACAACATTACCTCCAAAAATATATAGCTGTAAACAAAAATACCCATTGATGCAAATAAAACGAATTGAGACGTTTAAAGCGACCCTAAGTACAATAATAAACGTAGATATTTGATATTAAGATCGTAGAAAGAGTTTCGGACGGAGTTTTGATTCAAAACACAAACACGAGAAACTGGCTACGGTCGCGGCCGAGGTGATATAGGAGTATATCTGAACGAAATAATTGAAGCCGGCCGACTACCGGAGAGGAAAGTGCATTATTGCCAATCATAATATTATTAAAAAGAGTTCAAGTTGTGATCGAAACTCGAGGAACAATCTAGTTGTAGTTGTGGGACTGGGAGAACTGTTGATGGTACAACATTGTAACAGTGAGAAATAACATTGGGACACTGAGAACACCGCCAGAGCTTCAGAAATCATGTAGAAGCTCCAGAACTCCCTGTTCTTCGTCCTCTTCGAAGGCCAAACCCAGAAGTGATTAATGAAATCTGCTTCAAAGGCCTTCTGAAATCAATTTCCAAGGTTTACTAAGTCTCATCGTGCTGACACAACTCCAGATTCTGGTCTTGATGGAGCATCAATAGAGGAAAAAGAAGAATTGGCCAAGTTTCCACACGACGAGGTGCTCTTCAGATGATTATGAAGGTCAGATACGTACAGTGGGGGCGATACTCTGGCACGGTCTGCAAAGAATAAGATTAAGCACGTCAGTTTATAAAAAAAATTTGTTTTAAAGATTCGAAAAAGTAATGTAAAACAATATTTTAGGCCTAAAATTTCCTCCAAAGCCTGAAATGTCTTACCTGAATTCCTCAACACCTCCTGGAACCTGTAGTTGGTAGGATCGACCGGTTGTTTCACCCAATCGTGAGCCCTCACATCCTTGATCGTGGCACGATGCTTTGGGTCCGGATTCAGAAGCCATCCAATCAAATGGAACAGCTGGTCACTCACATCCCAAACCAACTCGATTTCAGCGTGAATCGTCTCCTGTGGCGTTCTGAATGGGTTTTGGAAGAAGACCAGTGTGTACAACAATATACCCATTGACCACATTTCAACCTCCGGACCTAGATATTTGTTGCCGGTCAAAACTTCGGGACTACAGTACTCCATGGTGCCGCAGAAGGTGGAGAAGATGATGTTGGGGCCGAAGTAGGCGGCCGAACCAAAGTCGATGAGCTTGCAACAGAAGTTACGGTCGATAATCACGTTCTCGTCTTTCAGGTCACGATGAACGATGCCATTGTCGTGAAGGTATTTGACAGCGTCGACGATTTGTCTGAAGATGTAAGAGATCAGAGGCTCGTCCATTTTGGGATGATTCTCGATGAATTCAAACAAATCCATGCCACAACCGAGCTTCTCCATGACCAATTGGAAGTACTTCTCGTTCTCAAACACATCCAGCACCTTGACGATGTTTTTGTGATTCAAGGTCTCCAGAAGATGCACTTCAATTGGTACTAGGTTTCCTCGACTAGAAGACTTGACCCAAGATTCTGGCAGAACCTTGGATTTGCACACAAACTTTGTCACTGCCAGAAGGCCAGTATCCTTTCGTGCTGCCAACTTGACTGATCCAAAAGTGCCATTTCCAATCAGTTGGAACGTATCGTAGTGGGTACTGTATTCTCCACATACTGCTTCATTACTTTCGTCGGCCAAAGCACTCAACGTTACATCGTGAATCTTGATTTCCAATGCAGCGTCATTGTCATCGTCATCTTTCAATTGCATCGTACGAACTTCAAAGTCCGACTCGACTTCAGATGAGCTTGAAGCTCGAGTTTGGGGCATGAGTTCGTTGATTTCGTCTTCTAAACATTGATTGATTCCGTAGTCAATTCCACGCTCGTACCCGATTCCTACAGCGTACAATCGTGGCTGGCCTTCTAATCTGGTCACATCAAAGCGAATCGGGATCAACATTTTGTCATCGTGCTTGGCCAAACCGTAGAACGATCCAACTTGAATCTGTGGCAGAGAATTGAATCGTTTTGGTTGATCATCGTGAACTTGGTTCGTGATATGATTCATTTCTTCTGGAGACAACGGCGCTGTTCCTACAGCTTGATCAGCTGACAACGACGCAAGGGAATTGGATTCATAGAACGATGGAATCAGGTCGGTAATGATGACAACTTCATCTTCGTCCTTCTTGTGGCGTCCACAAAGTTCGTGGAGGAAGTTGTCGTTGTACGAATGCACAACACCAGCATCTGTGATAGTGATGACGCCATTTATAGACGCGAGCGATCGTACCCTTACATCGTATGATAGGGGATTCTGGTCTTTGTCGAACTCGACTACGACTACAACGTTAAAGGGTACACCGTTCTTGCGGACTGAGGTGCCACAACAATACTGTTCTACACCGTTGGCTTCAACTGAGGTCTGAAAGGGTTGATTTTAATAAGGTAGGAGGTACATTTTGGGTAATTTCGTTAAAAAAATCGTACAAATTACAGTGCCATACAGTAAGTTACACTACAATAACATGCAGTACTTTCTATAAGAAGCACACTGTGCCTTGGCTTGCACGTTTATCGCTCAAAAAAGAGTTTTTAGCCCACAAATTTTACCTAAATTTCCAAAAAATAAACAAAAAAACTTACATTTAAACTAGGTATTAGTCGCTCCAACTCAGTACCAAATAACCTGTTCGTACAATCGTATCCAAGCACAGCGGCCAACGAGTCATCAGCACGGAAAATGCGTCCCTTAGCACCGAGAATGACATTAATATGCAACGCATTCACCGGCTCCATCAAGATCAACCATCGACAGTTTGTGGCATTGTTACAGGTGTGGTTCGAAGCGTGTTGCGCATCGTGGTGCGGATTCAGAGGGCAAATCTCATCTGGAATTTCAAATTTAAAATTTTTTTTTGAAAAATGGAATTTTTTTTTAATTTCAAAAATTCAATTTATTTTCAAATTTTAAAATTTTAAATTCCTTCAAACATAAAAAAATTTTAAAACTTCGAAATTCCTCACCTCCACGGTTGTTCATCTGCTGTTTGACCAGCGGGCATGCTGACGAATTGCGGGTCGAGACTCGCGACCTCACCTCGTGACTGTCACGTGACCGGTCAGTCGATTCGTCGTCAGCCAAAATGTCATTAAAGTGGAAGGCTTTCTGAAACGCAATCGACCGTTTCATAAAACAACAAGACGATAAAGTGTTGATTAGCTATTTTGGATACTGTAAAACATAGTGGGTTAACTTTGAGGTACTGAAGGTATATATTATACTGTAAAGTATTGAAATGAGCAAAAAACTGAAAAACACGAGTAGAGATGGCGTTTTATCGATAAAAATAGTGGAAAGTGATCAAAATCTTAAAAAGTTTATAGAAAAAAGATGTTTTATTAAAAGTTGTACTTCAGAATGTCCAAATTTTTCAAAAAAAAATTTAAAATACGGTCAAAAATGGCAAAAAACCTCCAAAAAACCGCCAGAAATTTCCCGAAAAAGCCCATTCGTTACCAAAAACCGCATAAAATTAATTTCCAGCTCCATTTTTTGGGTAAAAAAACTCCGTTCTTCTGAATCTAATTTCCAACTCTGTCAAAATTAAAAGTGTGACGCACATTCCCCACCCAAAATCACGTAGTGTTTCGGCGGGAACGCTTCAGGGTTTAATTTTAATTAAAGTCTCGACAGAACCGACGCTCTCCCGATTTTCGTAAAAAACAGCGCGCCAACCGATTCGAGTCTGCTGGATTTAGTATATTCGAAATGTCGCGGTTATTAAGAGGAGGGAGGATCACGAGGCGTCTGAGGAGCAGATGAATTTCAGGTGGAGTGAGCAGGGAGTTTCAGGTGAGGCGAGCAGGGAGGGAATGAGGGGGGGGATAGATTAAGCGAGCGGTGAGATTATAAAGTCGGTGGTGGAGTAATAGGTTGGCGGCAAGGATAATAAGGAGGATATAAAATAATAAGTTGGAGGGGGGGGAGGGGAAAGGTGAAGGGGAAGCTAGAAAAAAAAATTTTGTTTGGCGAATACATTTTTAACAAAAAAAATAGAATTTTAGTTTGTGAAACGCCATAATCGCGTGCGCATGATATAAAGAAGGTAGATATCGTAGTTGATGAGAAGTTTTTGATATCACAGACCATAGATAATGTGGCGTCTTATTAAGTTGATAATCATATGTTAAGTTGTTAACAAAAAAATAAAAAAAAAGTTTTATATATTTTGTTATTTAAGCCTAAAAAGCCTTTTGTAAACCTAAACAGCTTCTTGAAAACCCATGAATGCTCCTCCTTTTTAAAAATCAAAAAATTTAAAAAAATAATTTTAGCCCCTTCAAAACCCCTTAAATTTCAAATTCAACCTTAAATCATCAAAATTTCGAAACCTCAAAAACTTCCGCATAAATCTTCCAAAACCATTAGCAAAAGTACAATGTCGTAAAACAATTCGGGTTTGTATACAAAGTGCAGTGCACTGAAGACGAAAGGTCGATCATGTTTATTACGATAATTGGCGTCATGTGTAATGTAGCGCAGACCAGTTTAATCAAATTAGAGCAGTTTTATATACGTACTATGGTTTGGTCAATTTTTAATTTGAAAATTTAAAATTGCATTTAAAAAAAGCTCAAAAAAAATTATAAAAAATTCAAAATTCAAAAATTTTTTTTTTATTTTAAAAAATTTAAATTTTAAAATTTTGAAAACTGTCAAAAATACTAAATAAAAATTTTAACTTGATATATGTTCCAAAAGCGTTTTAGGTAACAAATTGTTTAAAAATAGAAAAATCGAATGTTAGACAAAACTTGGCGTGCTGATAAGGGATTATTCATTTACCAAACTTGCAAAGAATTTATGATATGAAGTCATTTCTAAGCTTTACAGTACGTTTTTCAATATCAAAAATTCTAAATTTGTGCTTTGCAGTACTTTTTTAACTTTTAAGCTTTACATTACCTTCTTCAAAATTAAAAAGTAAAAAGTTATGCTTTTCAGTATTCTTATCGTCTACAATTCAAATTTGGAAGTTACAGTAAGCTTCTGCAAATCAAAATTTAAAGAGAGGCTTTACAGTATCTAAACCAACAACAATATCTGAAGTTAGCTACCGCCAGCACCATCAAACAACTCACCAAAGACTCTTCCATTTTGGTCTTCAAATTTTTGTCGTCGTCTTCGTCTTGACCGTGCAGGTCTCCCGAATCGACCACCATTCTGCGGTCGCTAAAAGAATCACGGTGGGCTTCAGCGGTGAGTTGGGGTGTTCCACGCGGAAACGGCGTTGCGTGGCACGACCAATCATGCGGTGGATGCGCACCGTTCGGCCGGCTGAACTCTGCTTCAGTCGGTGGTGGGAGGGGGCTGGGCTGCTGGTGCGCGGCTCCGGCTTCGGACGACGGCGTCGCGGCTTCAGACGTCTGGAAATGCGAGGATTTTTTGTTGGGCGTGGTAAATTGTGGTAATTATAAAAAAAAATAAAAATTGGAGAGGGGGGGGAGTAGGCGGGAGTGTGAGAGGGAACGGGCAAACAAAAAGATACGCCCAAAGCTTCTTTATAAAGTAGGTAATCAGTCTTCATACCAAAATTATTTAAAATTTTTTAAAAAATTTAAATTTCCCCCCCCCCCTCCCAGAACAAAAATCATCCTCCCAGTACTGACTCCACTGCCATTCCCAAAAACGAAAGTTCATTTGACTACCCATAAGCAGGCTACTTTCACTTTCCAAAACTATGACCAAATAGGTTCCCAGTAACATAATCCGCGGTGTGAACAGTAATCCTTACCTGTCCGTTGAGCGAGGTGTATTTGTCGAGTAGCGAGCAAGGGCTGAGCTCTTGGTTTTTTTGGTTCGAATCAACAAACTGATTGAAGGAACCAACTGGCCTGTGTGTCGTAGACGTTGTTAAGCTGAAAAAACATTAAGTTTATGTAAATCGACCGGTCGTTTGGTATTTCGAGGGGTCGGTTGGGTAAACGGATACGAATTTTGAAAAAATTGAAGTAAAATGTAACGACAATATCATAGAATTTTCAATTTATTTTGTAAAATAGTTACTCATTATATCCAAGTTTATAAGAACTATAATAAAATTTCAAAATCTATCCTAAAAAGAATAAAAACCAGCTCACAAAGAAAAAAATCAGTCCAAAAAGAACAAAAACCAGCCTAAAACCAGAACAAAATGCCATTTTAATGCGTTTAAAGCTGAAAAACTGCAGAAATTTTGGAGCCATGTGAGAAGCAAAACAGAAAAATTGTTTTTCCAAACCGAACGGCTACTAAATGTTCAAACATTAAGTAGCCTCGTGATCACAGAGTCCCTACAAAGAGCTAATAATACTCTGATCGCTCTTCCTATAAACATATGTTGGTCAAGGATCCAAAACAAACATGTTACAACTTGTGTTGGTAACGTTGCAATACAACGTGGAGTTCAGGAGAGTGGGCTTTTTGAAAATTCAAAATTTTAAAACTTAAAATTTGAAACTAAATTTAAAAATCTTTCCAAAGCTTAAACTCCTCTAGGCTTAAACCATCCTAAGGTTCAAAAGTCACCATAAACCCTTCAGAATTCAAGAAAAATCATAAAACACCCATTTTCAAAGATTCAGAATCCTTATCAAAAGCCAAGAGCCCACGAATCTCAATCAAAAGAATCTGACGTGATATTGTAAATGCAAAGTCCAAAAGGTGTCTGGTCGAAAGATCAGTTTTGTTGCAAATGATAAAACCTACAGACAGATGGCTTGCCAAAATAATTTACGATCGTATATGAACAGCACAAGAAAAAAGGCTATACGATTTTGTGAAAGAGACATACGGGGAAGAGCAATATGTTCTGGGTAGTATAACATAAAAAAAACTATTTAAAAAATTTTTTTTAAATTTCAAAATTTTAAAATTTTGAAAATCCAGCCCCTACAACCAAAAACCCTCTTCCTACTTTAAAAAAAGGAATTATCCCTCCAGTTTTATAAAAATCACCCCTACCCTCAAAAAATAAGAATTACCCCGCCCTCTTCCAAAAATGAACAAAATTGTCTAAAAACATCAAAAACCATGCCTCTTTTATACTAAAACAAGTTGTGTTCAATTAAAAATGGCAAAACGTCCCAATTCCAAAAAAGATACGTCAAAAGGCATGTCACAACAGAAAAATGACCTATTTTCGTCACAAATACTCGAATTAATGAAATTAGACTGTTGAGCGATGCAAAATAAGTTTATTTTTAATCTTTTTGTTTAGTGTTTACATTATATGCTTAAAGCCAAAAATTAAATTCAAAACTTTAAAAATAAAAAATCTCACATAAAAATTTTTATTTTCACCCCTCCCCGTACAAGCCTCCACAAAACATAAAATTTCAAAATGAAACGCATTTAGCCATTTTATACTCCTCCAGACAGCTTTATAGCCTGATAGTATCATCCAAAAACTAATTTTGCACTAGTTGCCTTAAGGCATTTTGCAAAAAGTACACTGTACTTTGTTTAATAAATCTATAGTTTAGTCGTCCAACTACTTTTAAGCTTTAGGATCTTCGAGAATGTACTTTGACGTATGTACTCAACTGTAATTAAAGAGCGAATTAAAGAGGACTAGCTTGGAGATATAGAGGATAAAAATGGAGAGCTGTTAGCTTACAAGATGATGATTCTAAGCCAATTTTAGGCTTACAAAATGATGACTTAAGGCTTAATTTAGACTAAGAAAATGATGCTTCTAGGCCCATTTTAGGCTTACACAACGAAAACTTTACTCCACTCTAGTATAATATAACTTATTAAGTCGTTCAAATAATTGAGTGCCCCTAATCCCAAAGAAATTGCTGTGACAAGGAAGCACTTTTGAACAACCTAATAGCTCATTGCCACTTTAAAATTGAAACCTGCGAAGCAGCTAACAATAAAAGCACCCATGACATGTTAATGCAATATACATGTAGATCGTAGCAAGCGAGGCAAACATAATGGTCAATAAAGACGGAGAAGAATGATCCCAGACAGTAAACAAAAACAACCAGCACAGCACGGTCAAAAATTGTGGACAAAAAATGAGAGAAGAGCCTACTTCGTGCGTTTCTTTTACTACTATACTATGAGAAAGGTTTAGTATGGTTTGTACTAAAATGTTTCTATAATATTATGGTCGATTTCATACTAAATGCTGTACTAAAAAGCCTACTATAGTTAAGTTTTCAATTAAAAAAAGACTATAATAATGGTTGATCTAAGTTAATATAAAATACTATAATCGCTGTACTACAATTAAATATAATAGACAGCAATTCTTTATATCATAGCACGTGCATAAAGAGAAAAATAGATTATTAGCTCAATATGTAAGCCTTAGCAAACATAAAACAATAAGTAGTCTTTAGAGAATTGTATTTTAGTAGTAAGAGATAAGTTGTAAAATGGACTATTGTGATCACAATTTTAATTCGTACTCAAAATACCAAAGAATTCAATTTATACTTAAGATACCTAAAACTATGCTTCACTTTAAATTTTTTTTCAAGACCAAGAATCTCACCCACGCCCTACAAAACACGACTAAACAACCCATGTTTTGCTACTTTACCATGCCCTCTGACTTCCTTATCCAAGTTCATAGTAAGTTGGTTGAATAACTCAAAATATTTGGTCGTATAATCAAAATATGTTGGTTGCATAACTCAAAACAAGATAGTTGTATGACTCCAAAAGGTTGAGCATAACCCCACAATCAACCTTTCCAAGAATTCATACGCACGTTTTACAGAATAACAACAGTACAACGTATTACATATGAATACAACATACATATTATACGACGTGACCTAATACCAAACGTGTAAACAGTTTGCAAGCTTCTCGGAACGCGGATTCATTAAAACACCCCCTTATAATTCTTGAGTTTAGAACAGATAAACAAATTTCTCAACCTTTTGAAATTCGAGGCATTTTCGCGTCGTGAATGCCGACTTTCGCAACTATCATATTTACAGTGCACACGAACTTACTTCTACGTTGCTTAAGCGCGCTAAGGCAAAACAAGTTAGCGAGCAATTTAGGCTAAAAAAGGTGTTGAATATAGCGCGGGCATGTCAGATTAGGCTAGAAATGGGTGTCAAATATAGCACGAGCGGATCATTTTGAGCTTAATTTTTAAATATAAAAAAAAAGTAAAATTCAAAAATTAAATTTTTATTTTCAAACCTTCAAGCACAAGAAATAATTTTTTAAACTGCAAATTTCAGATTGTAAAATACGGTGGGGCGAAGATATTTTATAAAAAACCAGAAAAGTATAAAGTAACAAACCCTGTAAAAGCCCTGTAGCCTACCAACTCTGTAGCGTATTGCTTTCCTGTTCGAAAGCCAGCTGACTCATAAACAAGATATGTATTGAGTCATACTTGTACCGTAAAGCCAGACATTTTTAAAAAACAAAAACGACAATTTAAAAGTATTTTACCACACAGCACGATTTGGAAAACTTTCAAAATTTTTTAAAATACGCAAGAAAATCATTTAAAAATTTTTGAAAAATAGAAAAAATAAATAAATTTTAATATCTTTGACGTCATAGTGAAATAGACATAAACATACATAGTAAACAATTCAGTATAGAGAGACTTTATGATAGTAATTGTTGATATATTGTATATAAGTGACATAAGGCTTCAGATCAAAAACCTCACAAATTTTAGCTTTAAAATGGCAAATTTAAACATTTGCTAAAAAAAACCTTATAGTAAGCTTTAGATAGGCTTAAAAATGTTTTTTAGTTTCTAAAACCCACCAAACATCTTTAACATTACTTTAAAATAACATTTTTTTTGCCACAAGCTTTTCATTTTTACTACGTAAAGCCAAAAGTATTGAACAATCTTTAATCTCCTACAACAACACCATTAGTCTAATAGTCCTATAATATTAAAATGTATAAAAAGTAATGAGCTATGTCTTAAAGCTGAATTATCAGTAGCTCATTCTTTTTTATACAACGTAATACATTCGAGGGATAATACTAATACCACCAACAGTGTAAAACTTAATCACTTGGCCTATTCTTCGCCCAAAAACCAACCACATCCCCTGTCCCCCCCCCCTTACTCTTCTCCTCTCCCTTACCCTTACTATTCCCTCCCCCCTACGTACACAATCCAATAAAAACGAATACACTTATACTACGTCACGCTATATTATAATACACTTTTTAGGTGTGGAGAGCAGTGTTATAGAACACTTATCGAAAATGGAGAAAAAAGTTCTTTTTTCTCGAAAGTTTGAGAACAAAAAGAGAAAAAAAAGTTTCGGGATTATTTCAAAGAACACTCCACAACCAGTCTCACCTCTAACTGAAAAAAGTTTGTCGTCAAAACTGCCTCTGCGCCGACTGCAATTGTTCAAAGTTTGTTTAATACGACGTTTTTAGACAGGTTTCCCACTTCTACTGGTATTGTTGAGACATTACAGTTTATGGTCAGGGCTGGAGGAAGTATATTTGATTTAGGTCGGAGGGAGTGTAGATAGGGTTAAATATTTAAGGTAAAAAAGATGTTTTTAGGTGAAAAAAGGTGTTTTTAGGTACAAAAGTAAGTTAAAAAAGCAAATAGAGGCTTTTTGGCTGAAGACTAACTTTATGTTAAATTACTAAAAAGTCTTGTCGTTTTTTCCCGTTCTAGCGTATATGAATTAACGACAAAACTTTTTCACTCTTTAATTGTGCTAGTAATAATATAAGGTTGTTCAAATAACTGGGCTCCTGATCCCAAAAATTTTCTTTGAGAGGGGCACAGAATTATTTGAACCAGCTAATAGTAGTCTTACTTTAAAACTTCTACAAATTTGAAAACTAGGGTAAAAAATTAAATTTAACTCCCTGAACTTCAGACAAGCTCAAACTAGACATTCCTATACTAAACAAAAAACCAAACATAACACAAGTTCAAAAATTCACAGTAATTTCGAAAACATTTATCGAAAATTGGCCTTTTTGCCACAATCCGCCAAAACTTGTGTTTCTTTTCGCAAAAAGTTAAAAGTTCAAGAACTCGAGAAACTTTTGAACTTGGAATAATGTGTCATTTGATGTGGAAGAGAAGAATGGTTTAAAGCTATATTTATGTCTTAGAATGTGACTCCAGCTCACTAATGATAAATGAAGAAAGCTGTTGAGTTTAATATAAGATTTCAAAGCTAATGTCATCAGATTGTCACGTGATAAGGAGATAAAGCTGAGGAGCTTTAGTTGATTAAAAAATTCGACAGATTAAGCAACTAAATCTTTTCTACCTTATATGACTT